GTAGATACTTCACACGCAGCGGTCACGTCTCTGACCCATAAAGTAGGACAGATTGGGTCCCGGCATTGTACACCCTAACCTTCACAGTCAGGCTAATTTCACATAGGCGCTACAAATGTCGGGAGTTAGCGACCGCTGCCCTAGGTTACCCATTCAAGAAGTGAGTTTGTCTTTCGCTAACCCACCGGGACTCATGCAGCTATCCAGGTGAACGAAATAATCTACTACAACGATCAATTCGGTTTGGATGCCACTCAATCTCGCAGCAACACTGTCCGGGTGCGAAGCGAATGCCATCACGAAGACACCGGAGCTTACCGCGGTGTGACGGTTCGTGCACCTCCATAACCCACTGAGTTATACTGGAGTATGTGTGGTACTTACAGAGCCTCCCATACCAGGTCAATGAGCAGAGGTCTGAATAACACGGTCTCATGGTCTTCTAGGTTGGGAGTCGGAGGATGTGCCGACTTGCTCCCTAAAAATGTTGACTGTTCTAACGGTCTTGCGTCAACCATTGCTGACTTTCGGTTGGGTATTCGAGCCAAACGCTTTCACTGAGGACCTTAATCGTATTCCCGGTGGTATCCCAGCCCATGTAAAGTCATCGATTGCACACATGGTGAATGGTTGTAAGCTAGTGAAACACCAACGTTCTCATCTGGTGGGGCTATCAGTGGCGATGATGATACATACTGAATTGTTCAACATAATTATCTAGATTATTTAAAATGGTCTGCACTTCTGAAGCGTCTGACTCACGATCAACATCGTCGGCGCACTCAATGTCCCCAGGCGAACGCTCCGAAGATACGTCGATCACCGAAGTATTGGAGACAGGTAAGGAAGACTAGGGTGGTATATTCATTAAAGGGGTAGGGCGACAGAGAACATCCTTGCCTGACACCAGTGGGGCGATGAACTCAGGAGAGAATTTGTCACAAACACATGTGTAAACGGGGAGAGGTATATAGAGCAAATTAGGCGTTGCTGGTGCATTTCAGTTTCCAGGATGGGGCGGAAGTGGCGACTGATCGATGTCAGCGGCGTTCACGCTGTAAGTCTCTTTCAAGGTTATCTGATTGAGCAGTTGGAGGTGTGGGCACCTCAGAAGGATTGCGATAGGTCACAACCAGGTCTCCCCTCTCACTCACTTTTTTCTCTTTTCAGTATGATTGGATGAACCTTGCTGTTGTACGGCAGTGAAGCATCAGTGCCAACACTGAAGTCGCCGCTCTGATGTTGATGCCTTCGCAAACGAGCCAAACTCCGATACAGATTGCGATATTCGCCATTGGTTAGAAGTGGCGCAAGTTAATTACTGAAAATTGCCCGTTCTGGAACACATATATGAGATCGTATCACGCGTCTGCCCGCTGCTGCTTCTTGTCACGCTTTTGACAGGCGCGTACACCTCATTTGGCCGCTGGGGAGCTCTCGAACCCTGATACGGAAGGAGACTACAAGAACCACCTAGTGAAGTCCGTTTATGACAAGACGTCTTTTGATGTTGACTCTTACGATAAGGTACTTTCCAAAACCCTGCAAGACGCTGGACGCTGGATGGTCTAACCAACTGAACCTGAGTATTGGATATCGAACAACATTATAAAATCGCTCGAAGTTCGTACACGTATTCCTCCTGGTCGAGAGTGCATCAATAGCCGATGAACTGTCAAACTTCAGAGTAAAAAGAACATCTGAGCCTATCCAGAAGGCTGAAGAGGAGGCGATAAACTCTGGGAATATGCGTAAATTGTAGCAACTGGTGGGCGCAACAGGCTTAAAGAGGCTTGCGCGAAACCTCCACAGATGACAAAGTTTCACCTATTTCCAAAAAGACCACCTGAATCGCTGGATTATCAAAACCAATTAAACTGGTCACCTGCAGTTGCTCAGTCGTATTCTCGACTTTAAAAAAGCCCTGGACAGTGAATTCAGAGCCCCGATAGCTTCGAAAATAAGATAATGCCTTTTGATCCCCAACCGGTTAGCAGCCGAGCTCAGCTCAATCAGGCACAATACCACTTAACATAGGAACCGGCGCCCGTTCACAGTAACGGCCCATGTTCAAACGAACAGTATTCCTGGCGCTGCGGACACGTCTATGAAGATTTACCGAAATAATTTATCTGGCAAGAAGCATTATCATGATAAACATTGCTGGAGGAAGCAAGAAGGCTGAGATATTCGCAGACTGCCCAATCCTAGACCGAAGCACTCGAGATTCCAAGGTTGCATTCCAACCGCGGACCTTCGGTGAGTTCGCGCGGTGAGCTATCTCGAGCTCAACACGTTGGCACTGTTACATCAGTATAATCGAAAACAGCAACATCAGCGTTCATGCTGATACTTCACCATCCTACAACCAAAAGTAGAGCGAGGAAAAATGAAGTCAGAGAAAGAACCCGGTGATACCCTACCGCAAGCATTCTGGGGTGCTTGCGTATCCAAACGTTCGAATAATCAGGCGACCTAGAAATAACCCGACACCATGAGTGTCACTAACATCAATTAACCAACATTTCTTGACATCCTCTGCCAAGCACAGGATGAGTCACGGAAACCCCGTCCTGGATGACAGACCGCATAAAATTCGTCTCATTAGACTATATATCAGCATGCATAGCACATGGCCCAGTTGGTGCAATTGATGACGGATGTCTTTCGCGACTGAAGTAGCTGCTCCATAACCCAATACCCGATTTCCAGTGACCTCCGATACCAACAACACCTCTGAGACACCTGTGGTAAGAAAACAAGGAAACGTCTGAAATAAAATACCCAGAGGTTACGTCTCGGAACAATACAACACAGCCTGTACTGATCCTCGGTACACACATCCTTTGAGGCCAAATGATAACGCGTTTATCACAAACAAAACACGATCGGACCTTCGGGATTCTGATAGTGACTTCAGCAGACTTTCCTCTGAGTTAACGAAACCACTGAGGTATGGACTCCACGAACCGAACTTAAGTGCTTCGAAGATGCACGGAGCATGCTCAAAGGTTGTACATTATGGAGCGCAACGTAGCATTTTGTGGATGGATGCGCATATCGAAGAGCAATATAATGGGGGTTAACTTGCAGAACAGAACTTTTGCTTCAAAGATTAGGACATCTTATGCATGCCAAGGATAACTTTCTTCGCTTGAAAGGTAAATGAGGATAGCTAATGGAACAAGTGGGGTGACAAGGACCCCATTCTGGAAGGCGTACAACCCCAACAACACCCAAACTCCTCGTGATCTCTTTCACGCTCTTCGGCCAAGCCATGCGTTGTCCATCTCGCGGTCTGTGCCATTCAGGAGGCATGCGCAGTACTTGACCGAGCCATCGTAGACAGTGGTGGTGGATAATTTCCCCAATTGGAGTACCTGTCGCACAACCAAATACCCGTTTTCTGATCACCTCGTTACTAACACGCTGAGGCCATCCAAAACCAGCCACGCTTCTGAGGCATTGGTGATAAAAAACCTGAAGACGCATCACATCATCTTTCGGTAGAGGAAATGTCCCGCGCCTATACAGCAACACAGCTCTTACTGTGGCCTGGTACACGCGACGATTGAGACCCAGTGATACGCCTTTTTGACGCCACAGGTGGTGCAAATTAGCAAGCGGAAATCGAACCTTCGAGATTCTTGCAATGACCCCAAAAAACACATTTCCGTCAGAGCTAATACAACTAACGAGGTAAGTAAATTCTTCCACAATCTCCAGTGATTCTCCATGAATTTTGAGGGATAGGTTCGGAGACTGCGCCTTCTGAAGCGCGATTTTGCACTTTGCAGGTGGGATGCACATGCCAAAAGATGGCATGATGGTGGTCAGTTTATTCGGCAGGGCTTGTGCTCCACTTTGGTCCTCAAAGACGAGAGCAATATAATCTGCGTACTCCAGATCAGCAGGGCTCTCATCAGAAACAATTTGAACACCGGGGTTTTGAAGACCTATCGACGTTCACCTTTTTAATTCATCAGTGACGAAGTTGAACAAGAAAGGAATGAGTTGACATCGTTAGCTGACACTAAATTTTATATGGAAGCCTTTGGAGATTTTCCAATACATTCTCACATGCCCGGAAGTATGCGAATATAGGACTTGCATTACATTCTATGACATACTCTGATGAGCAAGTGTAGTTAACAGCGCTAGTCGATCGGTAGAACTGAACGCCTCCTTAAAGTCGAGGAATACCAAGATTGTGAATCGCCTGTACATGATGTCATGCTCCAACAACTGACGCGTGAATGTACGGTCGGCGCAGCTTCTCCCTGGTCGAAATCCCTCTTGATCCTTCCGATTCCAAAAATTCGCCTGCAGCCGTAAGATGACGAAGAATCAGTGACGGCACAAGGCGCGTTACCATAGGAGTCAAAGTAACATCTCTGCGGTTACTAAATTAACTGGGTGCCATTTTCAGGAATGGGCATCATTACCGACTCACCCCAGTTTTCTGGAACAATCTCCTTCCTTCAGATTGACCCAGACAGGTTAGACGTGCACTGATTGAGTAATTCGCTGCCGTCCTTGAAAAAAGCAGGTGGAAGGCCGTCAAAGCCAGGAGCATGATGACGCTTGAGTATACATACACATCAGGACATTTCTGAGGTTGATGGGGATTTCATGTTCACCTTTCTGTTGAAGGCCTGCAGTCCGGATTGGGCATAGCAGGTGGCCAATTGAATTTTTGTTCGAAGTATTATGCCCAGCGGTCCAAACGCTTTTTTTGGAAGAGATCAGGGAACCATTCTGACACCTGATAGCTTTGTTGACAAGAGACTTTCGGGGACCAGTCGAAGAATCAAGTGGAACGACCTGAATACGTTGCCAGCATTTTTGCCCTTTCCATTTCCTCGGCCTTTCAGGCCAATGAAATCTCTCGGTCTGCATGGACACCCAGTTTTACCTGGCGTCAGATGATAAGTCTGGTTGAGTTGTAGCTGTTGTCAAGATGAATCTGTCGCCGTGTCCCCGGCAAAGCCAAGGTCTTATTAGAGATTCAATGTTTGGGTGAGGTTGCTGGGATGTACCTCAAATGGAAGCTCCGGCTCTGAGTAGCACTGTGGATATCCGTACCCACTGACCATCGATATTATACATATTGGTTGTTGGTGATTGGCCTGCAAACATATTACCAGGGGCGAGATGGCCCTAGTGGTTAGAGCGCGAATTTACTGACCGCAGGGTTCGTGGTTCGAACCCGACCACTACCTCTCGACTTCCCCTGTCTAGGATTGGGCAATCCCAGCCGTCGTGCTTCCTTCTGGTGGCATGGCAGCTAGGCACCGAAAAGGTGTTACAGCTGAACGATTTATTTATTTATTTTTAAACATATTACCAAGCTCAGCGGACAGGTCAACATCCACCTGATCAACAACCAATAAACTCACCCGAGCTACCATATTTCAATACATTACCAAAATTCGACATATGACGGTCCGGACGGTCCTGAAAGCTTCGTTTGATTTTTGGATCCACTGGCTTATCAGTGGCTATGCAATGTGTGCTCGTTTTACGTAGACCTGAAAAGCATACTTAAAAGTAGCAGCGTACAAGTGTACGGTCGGCGTCCACGCCAGTGTTCCAGAAGAAGAGGCAGGCGGTGATTGTCACCGATAACTGACTGATGTGGTTTGTTTGGATTCGGGGCCGGTCTGTTGGTGGGCACCACGTTGTCAAGCGATTTCCGCTGTTCTGGAAGTTCGTACTGCAAGGGAACAGTCTATTATCGGCACATCTGAATTAAGCGATCCGCGTTGTCCGTGCGTCTCGTGTCCAGTCAGCTGGGGCGTAAACAGACACAATAAACGAGGTGCGACGGACCTACTTCCTCTAGATTCTCTCACCGATGCCGCCACACGAACCACACAAAAGCGAGCAGAGACGCTTCCGCTCGGTCGCTCAATACGATACCCACCCCAGCATACCCAGCTGCAGTGACCTCTGCATCACAGAGGAGCGCAGCGGGATCTGGAAGAGACCGAGAGAGTAGTCATTTCAGTTACAGTACTTGCATCCTGCGTCCTTGTTTCTGACAGGTAACATATATCAATGCAGAGGGAATGCAGTGCACAAGCAAGAGCCACCTGCTGACCGGATTGCTCCAGTGGGTGAACATTAGAGGCAGCTAAGTAGACAGGCTTTCGGGGTTTGGAAACAGACCTCGAAGTGTTTTGGGTTGTCACTGAACTCGGACGTACAGAACGTGCAGCCAAGTGTGCTGCAATTGTGAGCAAAACGGTCAGTCCTAGTAGTGGGACATTCGGAGAAAGTATTCAAATTTGGGTGGGGGAGAGTGGAAGACGGAAAACGTGAAAGTGTAAGAAGGGAGGCGTCAGCAGTAGCATGTTTTCGCTTGCCCGCCCTGCCGTAGCAAGCAAGTAAGGCGATCCGGCTGATAGCACCACGACGGTCGATGTTGCATGAGTGTCGCTAGCTGTTGTACAAGGGCTGGAATACCTCCAGGGCGCCCACACCTAGAAAAGACGATTAGGGTCCCCAACCAAAGGCTTTGGCTCAAAAGCATAACCGCAAGGCAGTGGTGTTGGGCTGGAAATACAAGTTCATTACCACCTTTACGGAACACGTTGCTGCACATGTTCCAACCCCCAACCTGGAGGGCCAGGAGATTGTGTTCGACAGATTTCTACCAATTGACCAACCTGGTATGAGATTCTAAATGTCGCGCGGACAACCTCCCACCCCCCAGCATAGCTCAATGGATCGCCGAGGCACACAAACCGCCACACCACGACAAGGTCTAGTCGCTTCGCGCTCTGACCACTGGTTCATCTCGCCTTGACGATCCTTAATAAGTTTTCAGAAGCCTCTTGAAGACCCCCAATAAACTCGGTGCATACAGCGACAAATAAGGCTCGAAAAGACACAATACTCTGCCAATTTAACAGCAAACAAAGAAGCCACCCACAGCGCGAGTTCGAAGTTCAACCCTGGGGTACAGTTAAACAATGAGACCGCCTGCGGCAGCCTGACAGTCACTACCATCATATCTTCGCTCTCTTCTGGTGGCGTGGCAGCCACACACCAAAGGGTGTTGCAGCTGAACCATTATTTTATTATCTCCGCTTTCAAAGTTTTGAGTAAATAAGCTGTACAATTTACCTCTGTTCTGGAAGCTACCAATTCATTATATTCTAGGAGACTAGCCGGTGGGCCGGCAATTTCCTTCTTGCTTAAGCCCTTCGGGTGAATGCTGGTGTCTATCTCTCCTCTTAGGCAGACGAACAATGTGGAATCCCCAATGGGCCTTCCTATGGCCTACATTTTCTGTTGTCTATACAAATAACAGCCGCGACACTAACTTCGAATGCTCTTCTGCATGCGAATAACCTCCAAACCCGATCCCCCGATCAAGCATCAGTACAAGGCACGGACAATATGGAGGACCGGTCAGTTAACTAGAACCTTTCACTGAATCGTAATGTGGTCGAAAACGCTGGCATAGCAAACCGGCTGGGATTAAGGGGTCTCTCATGAAAACCAAATTAGCGTGCATGAGGTTTTTGTTGAGGCTTGTGTGATTCGGATTCAAGCAAAACATAGGGCTGGCGGAAACTAATTAGCCCCAAGACGGGCGAAACCGGTCGTGGGCTGCTGAAGGGTTTTTAAAAACCTTGAGTAGTTTCCTCAAAAAATGCATAATTCTTAAAAACCTATTCTCCATAGGTACCAACCCCCATCTCTTCTCTTCATGTACGTCACATTGATCAACAAGGGCGCAGAAAAAACGCCCAAAAAATATTTGCGCGGCAGCAGTTGTCAGGAGCCACCAGTCGGTTTTCATAGCAGTTCTGTAACCAATGTGATCGTACTAGTCTTTTAGAAAGGTTGCTCGTGACAACCCAAAGCCCGGATTATTGCGCCTTATTCCGAACACCGACGTACTGACCGGGACATTTTCGTGGAATTCATGTGGTGCCCAAGGGATATGACACCATCAGGTCATTCTTCGTTCTGGTGTGCTAAAAAGAATAATTTACTCCTCGTTAGGTTCATGAATACTCCCCCGTTGTACTCTTGGCGTACCCAAATGTCCTCTCGACCAACAACTGAGGTCAGCTGCATTGGCTCAGTCTTCAGCTAAATTTGAGATAGACCTGTGGTTAAGGTGCGAAGCTGTCTACCAGGAAGGTCAAGCGTAACCCTGGCCACTCTATCGCTCCTGTGCGAACTTTGGCGACCTGACAGTGTCTCAGCTCCAATGAGCCCCACAGTCTAAATGGCGACTGTACGTCTGAGGCTGGCACATCCGAAAGTTGGTTGTCGTTTGCTATTCTCCGCGGGACCCGATTTAACATTTTTCGCATGGATCCGCCCAGCTACAAAGACCTATGGATGAAATTCTCTCTTAGGGCCTAAACCCTAGTTATAACAAAGGAAGTGTGTTTCCCAGCAGAGGATGGATCGATACAGCCCTGATACATGGAGCCATCCTACGAACGCGAAATTCCTAGGTTCTCTGTCCTCATACTAATGCGGTCATAGTAGTTTTGCTGCAAACGCGCATGCTCCGCCCCTCCCGTCCCACCACTGGAGGATCTTGTAAAGCTCAAAATTTCTTCAAAAGGCTATAGTTGGCAATGAGCAGCATAGGGAACTTAATGACCATGTGAACTGTCAACAATTTAGCAAAGGACGGTACTACGTAAAACGGCTGGAAGGGCGGGTTCGACGGGTCCATCACAAGAAAAGGGGGGAAATGGAGACTGAAGCCATTTGAAATTCACCACTCAAAAATACTCACATACATTGTAGAAGTTTAACAGTGTTTTCTATTAACTAGCTAAAGAAGATAATGCTGCTAGTCGGTCGATCAGTGGTATTTCGAGTGCTTCTCGTTTTGATGCTCGCCGTAATCCTGGAAATAACGGACCGCACCCAACACGACTGCAAACTGAAAAACAGGAGCAAACGTTAGTTGTTTGCAGGCTATCCATTTGAAAGTGTACCGCCAACCAAAGCGGGCTATTGCGCGCGCCCAATCCGCAGGATTACGACTTCGTCGTGATAACCATGCCGGGAGTTCCCCAATTTTGACATCCATTATAGGTGTGTCCGGTTTGCCATAAAAATATCCAGGAAAATAAGCCCCATGGATCCGCACGTTGTATTCCTTCGGCAAGAGACCGAATCCTGGCATGCTCCACTCGTAAACGAGAAGCGGCGTCTGGACTGTGTCAAGGTCACTCCACGCACGACTCGAGCCTTCAGGTTGAGTTGTGATTCACGGATTGATACACAGGATCGAGGCTTTTGCCCAAGTTTCCCGGGTCGGTTTTGTTCTTGTCGGTCAGTGGCTGTCGTTCACCTGAAAGGCACAAGTGAAAAAAGGGTGTAGCACTGCTCAGTCGAGAGGTTATAGGAAGCACTTCACGGATTCACGGATTCACGGATTCACGGATTCACGGATTCACGGATTCACGGATTCACGGATTCACGGATTCACGGATTCACGGATTCACGGATTCACGGATTCACGGATTCACGGATTCACGGATTCACGGATTCACGGATTCACGGATTCACGGATTCACGGATTCACGGATTGATACACAGGATCGAGGCTTTTGCCAAAGTTTCCCGGGTCGGTTTTGTTCTTGTCGGTCAGTGGCTGTCGTTCACCTGAAAGGCACAAGCGAAAAAAGGGTGTAGCACTGCTCTTTATGTTCTCAGCGCGGGGCAGTATGCACGCCAGCGCGAGGATTCGCATAAATAAATGTCTAATAGTGCTTTAAATTGGGTTCGAGAAGGAGCATGTACAACCGTCGGAGGAAGGTCATTCCACGCAGCTACTACCCGAAATGAAAAAAAGTTTTGTCTAACGGATGTGTGTGCCCTGAGCTTGAAGATTTTCTTACTATGTCCCCGCCGGGTGTTTGCTGGGTCAACGGTAAAAAACCTGTTTGCCAAGCTTTGTTCAAACAGGGCGTAGGTAAGAATTAGGTCCCCTCGGAGGCGACGGTACTCCAGGGGAAAGAGATCAAGCGTCGCGAGACGCGTTTCGTAGTCCACGGACTTGAGGCCGGCAACCATTCTCGTGGCGGCCCGCTGGACACGCTCAATGAGGGTAACGTCTTTCGTACGTCCTGAGTAGACAACTTGGTTGGCGTACTCCAGGAGCGGTCTGACGTAGGCCCCATAGAGTATTTGGAAGTCCATGCGAGTAATACGGGAGAAGGTACGTCGGATCATCCGTAAAACGGCGAATGCCTTTTGGGCCGATTTCTCATGGTGTAGTGCGAAGGACAAGTTTGAGGAGACCCAGATGCCTAAATCTTTTTTGGCATCTATCCTCATGATGTTTTCTGGTCCCTTTTCACCATGCATAACAAAGGCATTCGCTGAATCCCCTCCAAACGACACATGGACGCACTTTTCATCATTCAGAGGAAGGTGCCAGTCCAACGACCACTGCTTGGCAGCGTCTACATCCATTTGGAGGGCGCTGGCATTGGAACTCCAGGATTTCAAGTCGTCCGCAAAAAGTAAACATGGACTCGCAAGAACGTCTGGGAGGTCGTTGACGTAGATCAGAAACAGGAGTGGTCCCAAGACGGAGCCTTGAGGAACTCCAATGGAGACCGGCGCCGGTGAGGAGAAGGTAGAGCCTATTCTCACTCGGTATGATCTGTCTGATAGGAACGCCTTGATCCAGCGACGGATTTTCCCTTGAATCCCGTAAGACTCGTGTTTGTGGAGCAGCGGGACGTGTGGGACCCTATCGAATGCTTTTGAGAAGTCGAAAAATATGGCATCCGATATGAGTCCTTCGTCCTTGGCTTGGGTTAAGCTGTCCATAAACACGAGCATGTTTGTCACGCAGGAACGGTTTGGGAGAAATCCGTGTTGAGCTGGAGATATCAGATTGCTGGAAGTAAGGTGATCTAGGATGGCTCGCTTCAGAATGCGTTCCATCACCTTGCACGGCACGGTCTTTTGTTTGAAGACCTCGAAAACGTCTTCGGTCAGCGGTTTTCCGAAACCGTTTGCCCATAGCAAGTTGTGTGAAATAAATGGAACTGTAAATGACCACGGAAATTCATATTCTTTCTGGCGACCACGACAATGTTCTCACGCTACAGTTACATGGTGACCTACCAATAGACAGACAGGTTCTGGTATTTCGTAGACGCCGATTTCCACAATCATTCGCCGAAGACCCTATAGCCTTACAGTGAAACCACTAAGCGCCCCATCCTCTCATGTAATTTGCAGAATCCCGAGCACTCAGCTGATGTCTCCGAGGTGACGCGTGACGAAAATTCTGAAGCGGCCGGTTACGTTTTTTAAATTCCACCAGGGTTTTACTCAACCCCAATCGCTCTGGCGCTCCTAAATGCGATCCGATCTTGAAAATATCCGCGTGGACGGAATTATTCTGGCAGCCTCATTGAAATTATCTCTTAACCCCAGATAACTGGTAATGTGTTGAACTATTGGTAGCTCGGGTGAGTTTATTGGTTGTTGATCAGCTGACTGCTGATCTGTTCGCCGAGCTTGGCGATTGGCTTGCAAACGTTTCGTCACCATACGAGGAGGCATCATCAGTGCGCAGTTGGGTGGGCGCGCCGATCAACAACCAGACCCCGATAATGTTTTAGCATTTGATGGTGATTATTTGGGCCCTTGAAATCGCCCCACGCGGTCGAGGGTTTATCTGAAGTTATTTAAATGAACTCGGAGGCCACTATGGGCGCCGGTGGCTTGGAGCATTGTCTCTATGAGAACGGTGTGAAATTTTATAGAAAAAGCTAGTTTTTCCGCGTGTTTTCCTACGTATTGGATTTAAAAATAATCCAAAAACGATGTAGACAATAATCACGCCCACAAAGTCGGCACAAACTCAAATTGGAGAGGTCATTTGCGACTTGGATATGAACAATTCTTCTATGGTTGCGGCAAGCGTCCCGCCAAAGCCAAGGAATTGCTCACAGCTACCAAGTTTTTTGTTAATTATAATGGTCGGCATACGTTAGGTCTGGCTTATGGCAAGGTTTGACTTCCCGATATACCGAGCCACCAGTATTGCCGTTAGATGAACTATTGGGTCTGTGGGCAGAATAAGCAGACGGCACAATAAGCCTGCCACTGATTTTAAGTCCTTGTACACATTAAACTGACTGAAACGGTTTTGTAGGTAGCGCACTTGTCTGAGAAATATGGGGGTGTAGTGAACTATGGGAAAGCCATCAGACTGGTTATGGTAGTCGCGGTACCGTCACCACGATGCCGTACTTCGGTCCGTGGACAGCCCCGTACATGAACACCCTAGATGAGCCATTTATGGTTGTCCTTGTAGTTAGGATATTCTTGGGTCTGGTGAAGATTCGTGATGGTTCATTTCCTCCATTCAAGCGAGGTAATTAAACAGCCGTGTCTATATTTAGGACTCAAAACAGGATAAATGTCCGAAAGGTTTGCTAGAAAGCCTCCCGAAATAATAGACGGTCAAGGGTTATCATAATTCCGAACCGTTTCAATGGTACGACACTGCCCGGTTCAAAAGCGATAATCGATATTCAGGCACACGATCCATGTGAACTGGAGCTGGCATATGTGATTATGAGGGACTTGCATAGACTAGACTGGGCGCAACTAGCTCAGAGCTTGCTGAGTCATGAGTTCAGAGATATCTGGTGTTGCTGCGTGTTTATACAGTGAGTCTACTTCAGAATGGAACTGTTACAGTCTTGAAAAAGAGTGGAGCCTTGCAAAACCAGTTGCGCCTGTGGCGTCATATCATGTGTATTTGGTGAGTCTGTTAGCATCTCTTGCTCTTCAATCACTGATGATAATTATTTTGTCATTTGGTGTGTACTTTGTACCCATAGTGTCACATTTATTCCAAAGTCAGGCATGATCGAAAGATTACAGTAGGGACAAAACGTGTGTTTGTTCGTAGTCGCATGTGATGGAACAAATAGGAGATAGGTTGAAGTCAAGAAATGGAAGTGTGCAGTTGCGGGTGTGTTATCAAGCCGGGTATAGCAGTGTCATTCCATCATTGCGCTGAAGTACTTCGGTTTCTGGACAGCATCGTGACGGACATCATTTTTGAGGTGATTTGGCTTGGATGTGCAATTCTGTGAGAAGAATGATATTTTGGTTGGCCGTGGAAATTCTCAGAGGTAGAACAAATTTATATAAGATATTTTTCTGATCCAGTTGGATGGTTAGTGTGGTGCAGCATTCGAAATTGTACTGGTTTTGATTGTAGAGGCCAATGCACGAACCTGCATTGATCGAGTCGCGCTTGCTAATTTGGAACACCCAAGGTGTCAAGGCGGAATATGCGTGAATATCAAGTAACGTGTATATCAGGCTGCAGTACGGGTTGTTCTGTTGTTTGGCTGAGACCTGGCCTGTTTAAGAAGCAGAATCAGGGCGTTTTCAGGAGTTTGATAACGGTCATCTCGTGCGGGTCGGTATCGGCAAATCCGCATGCCGACATTTGACAGCGATATTCTGGTTGTGAACCAGAGGTTTTCACTAGAGAATGCGTCTCTACAGCCTCCAGCGAAATCATCAACCTTACCTGAGATAGTTGGATCACATCAGTTTTGGCTATCTTCCTAGCTCATTTATTTGACATAATTTCAGAAGTGGAGGTTGGTTCCAATACTTCGACGAACGACGAGGTAAACGAAGCCCAGAAGGGTGCTTCTAGTTGGTCATCTATGTGCTCAAGGCTCCCTCGTTATCGCTAATTAGACTGATTGAGCAAGTAGTGAGTTTACCTTTATAAAAACGAGTCTCCAGGTTCAGTGTGGACACCGGACTACGGGATTTGTTAAGCACTTTGTGGTGTGGCCACTATAAATTTGTTTAATTTTGTTTTAAATGAATTCGCGGAAGATGATTTTTTCAGAAACCCTCTCGAGTGAAGAACTGAGAAGTGGATCGACCACTCATTATTTTTGCACCGATGAAAACAATATAGAGAAACATGATTTGTTAAAGGCGGTCGTGTATTTTCAGACATGGGGTGTTGGCATTTGGACGCCGTATGGACATGAAGGATTGCCGTTTGTCGTTGAATAAGTCCATTATGTATAGTTGGGAATATGTATAGCTGAGCATATGCATGAGCCTGGCACTTACTAGAAGTGGCCTCGGTATGTGACATCGAGTATAGTTATG